TGGCAACTGTTGTAACCAAGAAGGGATGATTTGAGTTTTTTTTTTTTTTCTGTCAAATTATTAGTATTTCTCGTAAGAAAACGAACTTATTTTTTTACTCGCTTTCTGTGCAGTTTGAGATTGAAAATTATGCAGAGAAGTTTAACATGCATCACTTTAATAATGTGTTACTAAGTTGATGTAGTTGATGCTGTAATAGCCTGTTGTTCATTTCTCCTAGAACTGTATGATGTAGTCATGTGTAATGGAGTGCATAGAGAAGCAGTACAATTTTAATTTGTACAGTAATCAACATATATGTAATGACTGAAGCATAACAGTGCTTGGTTAATACATAATAAAATATTTGATAAGCAGTATTTTTTGTCTGTCAGTGATGGCATTAAGCTAATGTATTTTAAAACACATTGCATATTGTGTATTTGTATTTGTAATATAACAAAGAAGTAAGCTTAAGATATATTTTCTGTAACTGAATACACTGATTAATTGAGTAGTTAGAAAGTAACACTTCAGTGATGGCATTAAGCAAGTGGATTTGAAGACGCTTAAAGCATATTGTGCATGTGTATTTGTAATACCAAAAAAGTAAACTTAAAATGTACTTTCCTATAAATTGAAGGCTTAATTCATTATTTAGTCTTACTCTAGTGTACTTAAAACACATTTGAAATGTCATGAATAAATTATGTAAGTATATTTGTAACATACTAAAAGTGTAGTACAGTATATTCAAATGTATTTGTTATGCACTACAAAGTATCCCTAGTAGTGTGCCATTTTTGTAAGACAGGAACTAGGTGTATATTTGTACTCTAATGTTAATATATTTAATGTCTATTTTTAGTATATGTCTAATACAATCAGTGTATAATAGTGGTATGATTCTAATACTTACTAAATGTATTTTAATTTCACTTTAAATATATTAAAAATGGATTAAAAATACATATGCTGTAGTATGTTTAAAGTCTACAGAAGTATATTCAAAATAGTTCCATTTTAGCACAGTTAAGTACACTTAACACAATTAAAGTTAGGCTTTTGTACTATTTTTGTACAATTAAAGTATAATAAGTACAAAAATAGTTGTTCCATTTTAGCACTCTTTAAGTGCATTGATCATTAGTGTGGCTACAAGTACACTTTAGTACACTGTAGCATAATAAAATTTAGTATACTTGAGTCTACTTTTTTTTCACTAGGGGACCCCTGAGCAGAAAGCGTTTTGCGTTCTCCACTTCAATAAGGCTACATTTACACAGCAGGTAAAAGTGGCCCACATCTGATTTTCTCCCGAACACGTTGTGGGTGATGAGCCCAGCTGTCAACCACTGGAACTTCATAATCGCTCCTGTGATGCTGGTGAAGACGAAACTGAACCCTCTGGGAGCGACATGCGTTTGCTGGCCATGAGTTCGCCATAAAAAGGGCACATTATTTTTTTTTTTACCCTGCAGCCTCGATCTCCTCCGGCCGCGTTTGTGATAATTCTCTTGTCATTTTTTGGTACAGAAACATCAGCCTAAATGTTTAAGTCTCAGCAGCGCGAAATGATGACGAATGTCGAGTTGGACTGACGTAAAAGTCGCATGAATTCCAATCTGGCTGTTCAGACTAAGTCACATTGCCGCAGATCGGACACATATCGGATTTCAGTACCACATATGAAAGAGTCTCAAATCGGAATTGAAAATGTCAGATTCAGTGCGTTTTTTGCTGTTCAAACTGCCACACAGATGACTCATCTGTGTCACATACAGAGAAAAAGATCAGATTTGGAACAGCATGGAACGCCTTTTTGCACTTTCCTTCAAACCATTGGCTGATGCATAAAATGAGAGACAGGTAATTCACTCTTGTGATTGGCCAATGCAAGTTTTGATTGACAGTCCATCTCTGTTATAAGACTGGCCGATGCCAGAAATGATTGACAGTGTCTCCGCCCATTCGTTACGCCCACTGGTTCTCCGGGCTGCAGATACATATACTTGTGGCTAAGAGCTCAACAGTGTTTTCCAGCCAGCCGTCGAAGTAAACTCAAGCGAGTAACTGAAATGTGGCAGAAAGTTCTGCTAATTAGATCCATCAGCTCTGTTCAGAAACACTTCTAAGAAATCTGCGCCTAGTTTACAGAGAAATCTTTAATGCTGAGTAACTTCTTGTGGCTGTTTTGTTCAATACAACTGTATTTTATCATGTGATCATCATAAAAGTGTTTTAATGTCTTTATCAGTTCACTGGTATCTGCTGCCTTCTGTCCAGTTTTGTATCCACAGCTGAATAAAAACAGAATCACTTGATCAGTCATATCACTTTATTGTGTTCAAAAACGATCCAAAACACTACATTCTTACAATAAGGAAAGAAAATTGGTCTTTTTTGGTGAAGAGCTCTAAAATCTTTCAAGCTCATTCATCTCAGATCTAGTCTAGTCTGTTCATCTTAAAATAATATATCTTATTTTAAGCATAAAAGTGTTGATTTAAAAGTAAAGTTTCTGCAGTATTGGGCTTGAAGCTTCTTCACACTTTAAGAAAATGCTTAAAATAAGATCCATTTGTCCAGTTTTTTTTTTTTTTAGATTATTATTATGACACCAGATCAAATTAATGTGCCAGCGAAAATCAACATTTACCTATTTTAAGATTTTACGATCATTTGTAACACAAGATCGTTCCTGTAACACAAGCCTCGTTCTTGAGGAGCTCCATATCTAAAAATGTATCTTTTTGGGTGGGAATCTCTAGGCACCTCACGATTCGATTCCATTACGATTCATTATAAAACGATTATCGATGCCTCTTCTTTTCTATACAGGATTTCTATTTTCTTACTGTCTGAGGACTTGGTAGTTTTACAGCAAAGTATTTGTAATGATCCATAATGCATTTACGTCCAATATCTTTTATTAATAAATCAAATAGAAGTGATGTGGCAGGTGAACTTGAATGCTCTCATTCACTGCTGTTTGGAGCACATGAGACGTTGCTGCCACTCAGCTGCGATAAAATGCGCTGTTACGGTGACATAAGATCCAGTTGTAATGGATGTCCACGCAGCATATTACAGCTATTCTACTTATTTTCTTTAGTGATTTTATAACTTCGGTTTTGGTCTCGTTGTAGAGAGTGTCGCTGTGTCAGTAAAATATCTGCGAGACGGGACGTGTGCAACATAGCCCGAAAGCCCTGGTTCTCAACGACTGAGAACTGGCATGCAGACTGCAGGTCGCATGGCAACGAAGTCTCGCAGAGCTAGTAGCAAACAAAAAGGCACAGATTTAAGATGAATATTTGGAGACGAATGGACTCATTTGTATTTATAAGCAGCGCAGTTGGTGTCCTGGTACGTCAAATCTACGAGAGACTGTCAAACACTAAAAAGTTGCGAAGCTGAAGTCAGCTTCTCTTTCGAATTCTCCCGTTCCACCTTAAAGGGTGCCGCATTTACATTCGGTGCCTCAGGCAGAATTTAAGGTGGAACAGGAAAATTCAAGGCTGGAGAATGAGAAGCGACTTCAGCCTCGTAAAACAGTCGACCGATGAGACATTTTACAAGAAACTGATCTACTTTTAAGGAAACATTTTCTGGTGGAAAGGGGAGGAAAGCGGCTATAACTAGTTAAAGCTTAAAGCAGAGCACAGTGAGTCTGCGTTTTCGTTTATATTTTTAGCCTGTACTAGGACATTATCACATACTGACACATACTGGACATTAAATCTTGTGGCTCCCAAGGTGGTTTTATTTTTGTTAAAAGGACAAAATGGCTCTTCTTAACATTTGGGTTGTGACTCCTGACCTAAACTGGCTTTTAATGCTGCGGGTGCTGGTCGGATTTCTCGCTCATCCAATTGTGTTTTTGTTATGTGTTGCCACAGACTGTCCGGGTGCTGCACTTCCCCACTCACAAGTACCGCCCCTTTGCGTTCCGTCAACATTACGTTCTAAATTAAATATTTAGAAAATTGATTTTTGACGTTTGTGAATCGATTCAGAATCGTTCACGTCCGCATCGCGATGCATCCAAGCAACGATTTTTCCCCCACCTCTAATCTGAATCCTCCAACCATCAGAAAATCAAATATCATCAGAACACAGATCAATACTGATCAAAAGAGGAACAATTATGAAAACGGATCTCACTCACATGCAGTAATTTAACTAAATATTCTCTTCTCACAGATCCAAACAGTCTCTTCATTACAGTCATAATTAGCCCAGTTCAGTACAGGATCAGACTCATAGCCTGTCCAGACACAGCGTCCATAACCGCTGGGTTCCCCATGTCCCCAGAACCTGAAAGAGAGAGTGAGAGTGTGTACTGTGTGTATCAGAGCAGTGAGGAGTGATGATGAGTCAGTGGAGCAGATTCATAAAACACAGCACCAGATTTACTGTGATGTTGAGAGTAAACAGTGTGGAGGAAACACATTCATTCACTCATAAAGGAGGATTAACAGTGAGTTTATAGCTGTGTGATGTGAGGACTGTCTGCACGTTTCCTTCATTTAAATATGGCTGTATTGATTTATAACAAACACAAAAAATAACAACTGGATCACTGTGAGGGTCACTTTCCCAATAAGAAGAAGTTGATGTGGATTAGTTCACACATCTAACAAATCACATTCACACACACACACACACACACACACACTCTCACACACACACACACACTCAGCTGATTAACTGATATAGACACGTTTTGCTCTGTTTGGACTGAACATCATAATAAGCCTTGCTTATATATAAACTCTGCTGCTGTAGAGAACAGAGGAGAAGAAGACAAGTTTAAACAGATCTCAGATCAGCAGATTTAACTGACTCTGAACTTAAACAGCCTCTAATTCCTGCATCAGATCCCACATTTGAAGACTCTCCTCCTGTGTGTGGAAGTCAGGTTTGGAAGTTGGAAGTCAAATATACACACACACACACTCACCTAAGAGCAATTTAGTATCTCCAGTTGGCCTGACTGCATGTCTTTGGACTGTGGGAGGAAACCCATGTAGACACAGGGAGAACATGCACCACTCACTGGAATCTAAATAAGTGAAGAACAGTTTAACATGCTCAGATTCTCATTATGGGTTAAGTAGTTTTAGCTTTTTAATAGTATTTTTCTATTTACAATGAATATTACAAATGAATTTACAATTTACATGAGAAAATGACATTTTATTAGGAAAATGTCATTTCTTACCATGAAATTTTTACTAGTCAGTATTTAATAAGTAATTTTCAAATGTGCAGAACACATTCCTAATATTACAAATTAAATTTTTACTATTTGAAATGTAATTTTCACCAAAAAATATTATTGTTGTTGTTACTTAATTGAGAAATAAAATCATATATGCGAAAATGTAATTCCAACAATTAAAAGTGTAATTTTAAGATGTTATTGATCTTTTTTCATTTTGTCTTTTTATTGATCAAAAGTCAAAAATATCTTTATCAAACATTTACTCATTTACACTACGTTTTGCCAGAACTTCATCTTTTAAAATTTGTAGCTTGTTTCTGAGAACTGTGTTTAATTTGTTTCTTTCAGGGCTTCATTTGATGTGGGTCTTTAATATGTATGACCTCGTCTGAATGTTGATTCTGATTGGTTTTTGCCCAGGACATCTTTGAAAATACAGCAGCTTTAAAAAGACACCAGCGCTAATCACCACCACAGTGACCACAACACACATTTTGCATGAAGCCTACCTAGTGGTCACTACTGAGTCGTCCACCCATCTCCAGATTCTCTCTGTGTCTCTGTAAGTCACACCAATCCAAGCTGTCTGACCTCTTCTCAACTTGTTAATAAAGTCCTGTTGAAGGGAGATGACCATAATAATAATAATAATAATGATAGTAATAATAATAATAATAAAATAACACATTTTCATTTATCCTCTTACAGCAGTTTAGCCCCGCCCACTCACACTGAAGTTATATAGAGTGTTTCAGCCTGAACTGCTTTTTGTATGAGGCACAAAAAAGGACAGCCAATCAGAGGTTATTTACATATATGAGCCTTAAAGGCACAATAACAGCTTGTTTAATTCTAATGGATAAAGAGATTTTGGAAAATGATCATATAAAAATGAATTATGAATGTTTTTGGTGTATAAACCCACATAAACATCAAAAGTGGATCTTTACGTCGACACAATGAAGGAAAAATGTAGCTCTTTAATGAGATGAAGGCTTGTAATATTTTTCAAACTCTTATGTTCCAACTGAACAGGAAGGTATGACGTTATAAATTTCATGTGTAAATTTTTTTTTTTTATTATTTATTTACTCCCACAAGTCTCTCACCTGTTCTTCTCTGCTGATCAGCAGGTCTGCTCCTCTCTCTCTGCAGAACTGTCTGCTCTCACTCCAGCTCTTCTTCTCAGTAGAGATGTAGTAAATACTGGAGCTGAAGTATCTCCAGCCTAGTTATACAGGAACAATAATAACTACCAGTGCAGTTATACTACTAGTAATAATCAGACCTGCATCATCTCATGGGTTTTATGAGGGCTCTTACAAACAGTTATGACAGATTATGATAAATGTGACTAAACCAACAGCTGTTTTACATAAATAAAAAACTTTATATAATAAAAATATAATAAAAAAATTTGTTATTTAAGCCTCGTTATTGTGTTACAGCCAAACAGAATCCTGACGCTCTCCACGTTTTTCCTAAATGTCAGGTTCATTTTCTCCTCCAGGAAGTTTTTACCTTCTATGTGAGTCACTGAATATAAAGTGAGTCATCAGCATTTATATGTTCTAACTTAGATGTTAGATTTGATGGTTATTGTTACTGTGTGCATTCAAGCCTCAAATGCAGCTGTGATCACCAGCAGTAGTGGATCTTGTTATCACTGCCTTTTCAATATTATATTGCAACTATTATTTGTAATTCAAATATTTATGACTCACTGACTCACCAGACTCACACTGATGATGTCAGATTGGTTAAAAGGAATTTTATTTCAGGAACAGCAAAGGGATCTTGATCTACTTATATACACCAATCAGGCATAACATTATGACCACCTCCTTGTTTCTATGCTCATTGTCCATTTTATCAGCTCCACTTACTATATAGGTGCCCTTTGTAGTTCTACAGTTACAGACTGTAGTCCATCTGTTTCTCTGCATACTTTGTTAGCCCCTTTTACCCTGTTCTTCAGTGGTCAGGACCCCCATGGACCCTCACAGAGCAGGTACTATTTGGGTGGTGGATCATTCTCAGCACTGCAGTAACACTGACGTGGTGGTGGTGTTTTAGTGTGTGTTGTGCTGGTCTGAGTGGATCAGACACAGCAGTGCTGCTGGAGTTTTTAAACACCTCAGTGTCACTGCTGGACTGAGAATAGTCCACCAACCAAAAATATCCAATCAGCAGCATCCTGTGACCACTGATGAAAGACTAGAGGATGACCAACACAAACTGTGCAGCAGCAGATGAGCTATCGTCTCTGACTTTACATCTACAATGCGGACTGACAAGAAAGGAGTGTCTAATAGAGTGGACAGTGAGTGGACACAGTGTTTAAAAACTCCGGCAGCACTGCTGTGTCTGATCCACTTGTGCCAGCACAACACACACTAACACACCACCACCACCACGTCAGTGTTACTGCAGTGCCGAGAATGATCCACCACCCAAATAGTACCTGCTCTGTGAGGGTCCATGGGGGTCCTGACCAGTGAAGAACAGGGTAAAAGGGGGCTAACAAAGTATGCAGAGAAACAGATGGACTACAGTCTGTAACTGTAGAACTACAAAGGGCACCTATATAGTAAGCGGAGCTGATAAAATGGACAATGAAGAAACAAGGTCATAATGTTATGCCTGATCTGTGTATCTCACGTAAAGAAATCATGTTCATTAATCACTTACCCAGTTCAGAAAGGTTCTTCTGAAATCCATCTCTCTCTTTCTGTAACTGGTCTCTCTCTATAGTCAGGTTGGTGTTACTGGTCTGTAACTGGTCTCTCTCTGTGGTGAACTTGAACCACAGCACTGTGATGGCAGTCAGCAGGAGAACACACAGCAGCCCCAGACACACTGCAGTCAGTCTGTAGCCTCTGGGTCCTGCAGTGTAAAATGAGAATTTGACTATATTTACTTCTTTTAGGAACTTTTTTTGCATTGACCATAAATACAGAAGCAAAAACTGACCTGCAATTAATATTTCGTAATCAGTACAACACTGACATACATTGTTAGCTGTACTGTAATGGTGTTACTTGATAGATCATCACTATTTCTAAAAAATAAATGTATAAAAGAGAATTTGTTTTACTACCTGAATGTTGTGTTTGTATGATCCTCTTGGTTCTGGTGTCCTCCATCTCTGTGTTGGGCTCATGGCCTCTAACAGTGTCTGCACTCTCATAGATAGACAACACCATCTCCACTTGCTCTCCTCTGTTCAGCTCCTCATTACTGATCATCTTAACATCATAAACATTCTGAGACATCTCTGATCTATAAGACTCACTAAAACACAGAATTACTGTGTCTGTCTGTATAAATACAACTGCACAGCTACACTTCTCTGCTTGTATGGTTGATTATAGTCAGTCCATAATCAGTCTGATGGCTTTAGTTAAGGAGGTGACTGAGTTCTCACAGCTGTGTTAAAATGGACTTCCTGTTTGTGGTTGAGATGCAAAAACAGCAGAGCTCCTACTTTCAGGGTCTTATCTTACAGTTGGTTCTTAACCTGTCCTTAACCAAAAAGTTGGGACAGTAGATAAAATGCAAATAAAACAGAAAGCAGTGATTTATAAATCTTCTCTGACCTGTATTTGAATGAAAGAGTACAAAGTAAAGATGTTTTAATATGTTTTAATATGTTATCAACTTCATTGTTTTTTTAAATATACGTCTGTCAGAATTTGACGCAACATGTTCCAAAAGTTGGGACAGGGCAATTTAAGACTAGTAAAAATGTTCAGACAACACCTTAACCAGGTGATGCCATCATGCTTGGATGTAATAGGAGCATCCAGGAAAGGCTGAGCCCTTCATGAACACTTTAACCAAAATGCATGAGCAGTTAAATAATATTGTTTTTCAGCCAGACGTTGAAAGGATTTTAGTTATTTCATCATCTACAGTGCATAATATCATCAAAAGATTACGAGAATCTGGAGAAATGACCAGGCCTTAGCTGAGGATGAGTATCTATGGATTAGGTATGTGTAATAGTGAGATGCAGTTTAAACGGAGATGGAGCACCATAAATCTGATACCCAGGAGCACCAGAGGATCTCAATCTGGTCCTGTCCAGAGTGTTCTATTCTACTGGTCAGTGCTTTTCAGTGGAGTGAACTTATTGCATAAAACAATACGATATTCTTTTTTGTCTTGTTTGAAATAAAAGGTATGTTATTGAAATTGCTGTTCTCGTCTTTATTACATATTTTTATTATTTATTATTACTTTGTTATTAAACCTTTTTAGGTTACAGTTTACATTTTTAACAGGCTGTCTGTAACACATTTGTCAAATAACAATCCCAGCATTGCTGACTGAGTGTGACGACTCATTGTTAAGTCAAGAAGTCTACTTTACCAAACATAAGACATCACACTGGACACACCAGCATGAACACCAGAGGAAGCACACGAGGAAGCATCACCAAGGCAATGCAGCTGAAATGCTATCCACAAGTTTGAGACAGCTGCTCAAAAATCCTCTGACAGTCAGGGTAACTGAGCTGTATAAACAAAGACACATCTGTAATGACCAAAAAAGTACAAAACTTTAGAATCACTCTTCAAAAGTTTGGATCAATGTTTCAGTAAGATTTTAAATAATTTCTAGGAAGCTTTAATAAATCACTAGCATTCCATAGGAAGCAGGTGTGGATCATCTCATATGTTTTATCATTGCGTGCTCTGAGGCCTGAGCCACTAGGTGTACCACCACCACCCTCCAACCCCCCCAACACACACAATGCCTGTGGAAGCTTTATGAACGGCCCAGCAAAACAATAAGCTAAATTCTGTATGAGCAACTTGTAAGCTTGAGTCGTTTGTCCATTAGTGCAGCAGCGTCACATGGTATCAGTTTATATCAGATGTTAACATAATTAGCGGTTTTATAAGGTTGAATAAGAGTGAATGAGTGCTGTATTGGGCTGATACCCGATACCAATATTGGTATCAGTGCATCCCTAGTAACATACATCTGCAATTAAACACAGACGTTTGTGATTAAGGACATTATTGCACTGTTCCATCACTGTGAGTGTTTTTTGGGATTGTTTTAACTGTGCTGACAGTTATTCAAGGCACATTATTACAATATTGCATGCTTCCAGTTCTGATATACATATTACATACATATTAATACACATGTGCCCTTAATTACACAGCTGTTTACATGCTGTAATCCTCTGCAGCATATAAGGAAAAATACCATGAAACACAAACTACAAATGGCACAGCCAAACACCAAAATAACTGAATCCTAACAGCTACAAATAATGTAATACATAATACAGAATTCAAACAATAAGTATAGTATATGAAAAACAAAAGGCACTGATAACAAGATCTCAGCTGCTACTGGTGATCACAGTGACCTGTGAGGCTTGAAAACACACAGTAACTTCACATAACCAGCATCTAATCTAACATGTAAATTAGAACGTATAAGTACTGATTAACAGTGGCGTCTCTGGCACAGAAAGCCTGGCAGGGCACAAAAAGCTGTAGGGGCAGCAGCCGACTCATCACTGAAACCACACACAAACCTGATCCAAACACAAACACACTCCATCAATTAAATCACAAATTCATTAATGTACCGTGTTGCTGGAGTTACACACTGTTAGTGTAAAGTATTATAGTAAACCAGTCGATCATATAGAAGATATGAGGTTTATATTTAATAGTCTGATTGTGGTTCATGTAGATATAAACCGTTTTTTTAATGCAACATAATAAGTATGATTCAATGAATTTAACCAGGAATATAAGTAAATAATATATTTTGGTTTTACGCTTTGATAAAAACTTGAAATAAAACAAAAAAAAAAGGTTTTTTGTTTAATGGAGGCAAAAGTCAGAGCAGTTACATCCCTGACAAATTTCTGATTAGTCAAAGAACGTAAAGAACACCCATGTGTCTTATTTAGTGCACTTCAGCCACTGCAGTGTGAAATCAACCAAACTTTAGGTTACAAACGTAACCCTGGTTCTCTGATAGCATGAGTGAGGTATCTCACTATGGGTCAGGTAGGAGCTGCCCCTCCTCCGTATTTAAGGGCTGATGCAATGTCACTTGGTTATTCAAAATGAGCACATCTCTTCCTCGCTTCACGCAATGAGGTGGTCTGGTGAGATACCTAACTCATGCTATCAGAGAACTAGGGTTATGTTTTATCCCTATGAGGCGAGGCCCAGTTAGCTGCTGCACAAATCTCCTAAATAGAAACATCCTGAAACAGGGCCCAGGATGTTGCCATTCCCCTCGTGGAATTTGCCCGCAAGTCAGCGGGAGGCTGCATGCCTTTGCTGGAGTAAGCTAGAGCTACAGCCCCCACTATCCAGTGGGACAGGCGCTGTTTAGTGATGGGCTTCCCAAGGTGAGGTCTTGCCCAGGATACAAACAGCTGATCAGTTTTCCTAAACTCCTCAGTCCTGTTCAAATAAATGTGCAGCGAGCTTACCAGACATAGCATGTGTAATCGCCACTGCTCATCAGAAGCAAACGGTGGGGGGTAAAAAGCCATCGGTACAAGACGGGGAAACGTCGCTGACGAATCAGAATTTTAGGAATAAAGGCAGGGTTAGGTTTCAACATGACCTCCAGATCCCCTGGTGCAAACTGAGTGCAGGTTGGGTGCACCAAAATTGCATGGATTTCACTGACCTGCTTCGCTGATGCCAGCACCACTAAAAGGGCTGTCTTCATTGATAATGTTTTGAGATCCATGTCATGTAGAGGCTCAAAAGGGGGGTATGCTAGAGCCTCCAAAACCAATGACAGATCCCATGAAGGAGTGAGTGACTTGGATACTGGGCAGAGCCAGCGCACACCCTTCATAAAACAACATATCAGGGGGTGCTGTCCCACTGTTGTGCCATCAAAGCCCATGTGGCAGGAGGATATTGCAGCCAAATACACTTATATAGTGGGAAAGGCTTTTCCCTTCTCCAAGAGCTCCTGTAAGAAGGACAAAATCACAGGGATGGAGCACTGAAAAGGCACTGCCTGTGATTTTGCACACCACTCCTCAAAAACTCGCCACTTATGCTCGTAAAGGATTTGAGTAGATGAGGCCCTGGCACTCTGAATCGTCCCTATAATGTTATCAGGCAAACTAACGGTATTTAGGTTGGACCTTTCATGGGCCAAGCCCAAAGAGCTAGATGCTCTGGATGGGGGCAAAAAATTTTCCCTTGCACTTGTGATAGGAGATCTCTGCGCAATGGGACGGGCCAGGGCTGTCCGCACAGCAACTGGACTATCTCCGCCACCCAGTGCTTCTCGAGCCAGTTCGGAGCTATCAAAATGAGTGACAGCCCCTCTTGTCTCACCCTGGCCAGAGTTGGTGGTATCAGTGCCAATGGCAGAAACACATACAGGAGGGTGCAGGCCACGGGTGTGCTAGCGCGTCCACTCCCGCTGGGGCATCCTGGTTGTTCAGAGAAGAACGACGGGCACTAAGCATTTTCTCTGGTGGTGAATAGATCTACGGCAGCTTTCCCGAAGCAGTCCCAGATCTGATACACTACGTCTCTGTGTAGCTGCCATTCCCCGTAGCAAGGACTGCTCCTTGACAGCAGATCCGCCCCCTGATTCAAAACACCGGGTATGTGAGTGGCTTTCAGAGACAGAAAGCGCACTCCACTCCACACAGTCAGTCTGTGTGCCAACATGCGCAACTGCCGAGATCGCAGGCCTCCTTGTCAATTTATGTAAGCTACCACCGTAGTGTTGTCTGTTCGGACAAGAACATGATGGCCCTCTAGATAAGGGAGAAAGAGTTTCAGAGCCAGGAAAACTGCCAATAGTTCCAGGTAAAACAGAAACACTTGATCAGTCATTTGACTTTATTCACATTCACAATATTATACAAATCTGTTTACAACATAATTTATTGTTTCTTTGTATCCAATTTAAGCAGGTGTCAAAATTTTATGTGAATTTTGGCTTCATTCGACTTGCTCTAAAATTAGTCATTTATATTCAATCTGTCAATCTGCCAAATATGCATAAAATACGGAAATCTAACTACTGAAGCACTGTTCTTATGAAAGATATTTATAGCGCCCCCTGTGGAGAATCTTCAGCCTGCATGAGTCTGACACTGCAACAAATACAATCCTAACAAGCCAGAAAGTCTTTAAAAGGAACAAAAGATCTTGTTTTTCAGTTTAGATTAACAGACTAGACTAGATCAGTCACTAGTTAAGATTAACCAGCTAACTTTTAGAAACTTAAGTCACAGTTATCTTATTTAGCTGATCATACAAACTTCCTAAAAACATCTAAAAACATTCCAAAACTCTTTAGTTAAATTATTCTTAGAATAAGTTTGAAATTTCTTCTTTTATAGTAAAGAACCTCAACACTTTTCAAACCAGTTGATTCATGTAGTCTGTTCAGCAATAAATAGATCTTTAAGCAGTTTAAGCTTAACAGTGTTGAGCTTGAAGCTTCTTCAGATATTCTCATCTTAAAGAAATTGTACCAAGTGTGGTTTTAAATATGTTTTTGCTAATTTTAGAGTATTATTATTATTATTATGACAACATCAGATCATATTAAAGTTTCTTAAATTGTCACAATAGCATAAATCAATGAAATATTTACCAATTTTAAAATCGTCTGCTGCAAAGGATCATTTCATTTTTTTTTCTTTTTTGACACTTTTTGACTTTTTGCAGCAGATAGAAACATAACAAAGACACAAATGATAGAAAGATAAAAAAGGAAGAAAGCCAGATTCTTGAAGAGCTCAGTATCTAAAAATGTATAAGAAAATAAGAAAAGAAAATCAAATATCATCAGAACACAGATCAATACTGATCAAAAGAGGAACAATTATGAAAACAGATCTCACTCACATGCAGTAATTTAACTAAATATTCTCTTCTCACAGATCCAAACATGCTGTTTATTACAGTCATAATTAGCCCAGTTCAGTACAGGATCAGACTCATAGCCTTTTATGACACAACGTCCATAACTGTATGGTTGTCCACGTCCCCAGAACCTGAAGGAGAGAATGAGAGTGTGTACTGTGTGTATCAGAGCAGTGAGGAGTGATGATGAGTCAGTGGACCAGATTCATAAAACACAGCACCAGATTTACTGTGATGTTGAGAGTAAACAGTGTGGAGGAAACACGTTCATTCACTCATAAAGGAGGATTAACAGTGAGTTTATAGCTGTGTGATGTGAGGACTGTCTGCACGTTTCCTTCATTTAAATATTAGAATAAAAATTAAATATTAAATTTAAAAAACTTGCAACAGTAAGTGTAATTTTAGCATGTTAATTTAATTTTTGATGGTAATAAGAAATACTTAAAAAATATTATCATTACTTAATTATTTACTTGAGAAATAAAATATTACATACTAAAATATAATTCCTACAATTAAAAGTGTAATTTTAAGATGTTATTGATCATTTTCCATTTTGTCATTTTTGTCTTTTTTAATTAGTATAAACTTTTTTTGATAAACTTTTTTGTTTTTTAATTAAAAGTCAAAAGTATCTATCAAACAATTTACAATTTTTTTGTCAGAACTTCTCATTTGCAGGTTTTTCTTTGGTGTTTCTTTGGTTTTGTTCTTTTGGCAGCCAATCAGAGCTTCACTTGATGTGGGTCTTTAATATGTATGACATCATCTAAATGTTGATTCTGATTGGCTCTTGCCCAGAACACCTTTGACAAAAAGACACCAGCACTCATCACCGCCACAGTGACCATGACACACATTTTGTGTGAAGCTGCACTGTTACCACCAAGTTTTACAAATCAGTCCCAGAAATTGCATCACCAGAGTTCAGTTCAGTGATCTCTCACCTAGTGGCCACTACTGAGTTGTCCACCCATCTCCAGACTCTCTCTGTGCCTCTGTAAGTCACACCAATCCAAGCCCTCTGACCTCTTCTCAACTTTTCAATAAAGTCCTGTTGAAGTCAAATGACCACTATAACACGTTACCACATACACATGTTCACTTATCTTACATTTAACTGCCTCTTAGAACAACAACAATAACAGTATAACACAGTCTAATCAGGGTCTTTTACAGCTCTAGACAGAGACGTCTGGGGTGACTGTTGACTGCTTGTTGTCCAGTGACTCTAATTCTCATTCCAGTGAGAGAAGAGAGATTATATTCAGACACAAAGTCACCACTGATCATCTTAAAGCTGCTTTGATTTGGTTTGTTGAAGAGAAAAGTCTCTCCATGCTGCATACACTGATACTTAAAGGACTCATAACATAGAGAGTCTGTTTTAATAAAAGAGTTCAGTGTAATTTGTGAACACCGGTAAAGTTTAAATGTGTATCACTCACTCTCCAGTTTATACAGTCCATATATATACAAAATGAGCCTCTTTAGAATTCATAACACATTTTCAAATATCCTCCTACAGGAGTTTAGCCCTGCCCACTCACACTGAAGTTATAAGGAGTGTTTCAGCCTGAACTGCTTTTTGAATGAGCCGCAGTAAAGGACAGCTAATAAGAACGGAGGTCATTTACATATATCAGTCTTAAAGGCACAATGACAGCCTGTTTAATAAAAAGGGATAAAGAGAGTTTGGAAAATGATCATGTAACAATGAAATATGACTGTTTTTGGTATATAAACTGACCTAAACATCAAAGTGGACCGTCATGTGGACAAGAAATGGAAGAAAAATGTAGAATACGAGCTCTTTAATTAGATTAATGTTTGTAATATCTTTTAAACTCTTTATTACCAACATCAATTAATGCAAGCTGAACAGGAAGGTTTGACACTATAAACTTTGCGTGTCTTGATTTGTTTTTTTTTTTTAATTTTACCCCACAAGACTCTCACCTGTTCTTCTCTGCTGTTTATGATCAGCAGGTCTGCTCCTCTCTCTCTGCAGAACTGTCTGCTCTCACTCCAGCTCTTCCTCTCAGTAGAGATGTAGTAAAGACTGGAGCTGAAGTTTCTCCATCCTAGTTGGTTAATGAGTCTCTCTGTTCAGACAGAATAATATGAGTTATTCCCAAAACACATTCATAACATTAATGCACTATTAGTGCAACACAGTCCTTCATTAATAAAGACAGATCTAAAAACTCTAATTAATCTCTTACCATGAACACAATTTATTCAAATAACACGTTTACCTTTCATGTGTGTCACTGAATATAAAGTGATTAATCATTTATATGTTCCAACTTACATGTTAGATTTGATGGTTATGTGAAGTTACTGTGTGCATTCAAGCCTCATGTGTCACTGTGATTAACATCAGCAGCAGATTGGATCTTGTTATCAGCGCCTTTTGAATATTATATTGTAACTTTTATTTGTATGTTAATTATTTATGACATTATTTAGTCAGATGGTGTTTGACTGTGCAGTTTGTAGTGTGTGTTTCATGGTGTTTCTAATATAATCCAGAGAATTACAGCATGTAAACAGTTGTGTAATTGGGGGCACGTGTATTAATATGTGTGGCCACAAGAGGTCACTATAACCTGACTGAGTTAAGTCGGGCAGGACTGTGGTGTCTCGTGTTGTAGTGTTGTTGGATGACTGCCAACCTTGTTTACTGGCTTGTGCTTAAGCTCATTAATGTATAATATTCTTATTCTGATTGACATTACTGTAATTATTACTGTTGTTTGTGACTTATGATTATTTTTATGTCTCAGTTTATTATCAGTGGTCTCTAGCTGTAACGTGCCAAGCAGATTCAGACGCTCGCAGATGTAAAATACAGAAGGGGCTTTACTGAGAGAATCACAGTTCAAAGTCGTCGTCACAAAACAGGCAGGGTTCGAATCCAAAAGGCATAGGAAGTACAAACAAACATACATCTGATAATGCATCCAGTCCAAAAAGGGGATAGGCAACAACGTGGTCGAAGCGACAGGCAATGGGTCAAAAACAGTAATCAGAAATAAGGCAAACAAATCCGAAGGACAGAGCAAAAAGGCAAAGTCGAGAAAACGAAAGGCAAAGATCATGCACAAAATACACTCCAAGAAAAGACCACTCAGCAGATCGCAAAAGTGAATACAATACCTAGCAACTATTCTGAGCTAAAGCCCTGGCTTATATACTAAACTAAGGATGTCATATGACAAATAACACAGGTGCTTCACATCAGTATTCCGGAGAGCTAGAGCGCGGATAGGAGCGCGGAGTCACGTGGGGAGTCAGGTGATCTCCCAGAGGTTCTTGGGAGATTGAGTTCGTCTAGGTGTTGTCGCTTACGGGAAGCTCGGAAGTCATATGATCTCCCAGAGGACTCTGGGAGATTGAGTCCGAATCCACATTGGATTCGGTGGATACGTGACACTAGCATAATTCACTACATTACACTATTACTATGATTACTATTATTATTATTATTATTATTATTAGTAGTAGTAGTAGTAGTAGTAGTAGTAGTATCTAGGCATGATCATCAAATAGGCATCTGGGCACAAATGTTTAAAGTGTCCAAACCAAGCCACCTTTGTTAGTGGACATGATAATATATTTATTTATTTGCATGATATGCAGTTTAAAAAAAAGGGTGTAAACCAGTTTAATTAAATATTTATGTTTTGCAATGCTATGTTTCGAGTCCACTGAACCAACAGTTTCTCTTTCATATAGGGTGGGTCATGATAATACAGGTATAGTTTTAAATTCAATAGGATTTTTGCCATATTGCAGTATTTTAATCATCGCCTACAAAGCAGAGAGTCGTACCAGAGTTAGCACTGAGGACGAATTAGTTCCAAAAGGGGAGCCACATCAGTAGTGTGGAGGTTTTTCAGATACAGAAGGTCAGACTCCAAACAAACGACTGCAAATTGGAAAACGTGTAAAAATACTGTGACCACAAAAGGCGGCAACACATCAAATTCACCACCTAAAGCAAAAGCATCCGCATGAGTACGAGGAGTGTTAGTCACTGCGTGTGTCTGAGACAGATGGTGAGAGGCCAAAACGTTTGTCTGTTTACAAACAAGCCAAACCAAACACAACACAGTTACTCAGACAACCACAGCTGCATCTCTTCAGCTCCTTTCACATTTTTATTATTCTTTCTTATTCTTTATTTTGTTTATTCTTTTTGCTTTAGTTAAATACTTGTTAATAGTGTGCTTGTCTGGTCTGTTCAGTATGTCATATGTCTTGCATGTGTACACTCATCAAGATAAATTAATTCATTAATGTGTAACACACTTGACAACATAAAGTGATTCTGATTCTGACTGTGATTCTCTGGTGAGGGCTGAATATATCCAGTTACAGAGAATAAACAATGAAAATAAGCTTCCAATCTGTTAGCAGCAACGTGATGTTGGTCTGATAATTCTACATCTAGTTGCATTTTATGGACGCAGTTTCAACAATAACAACTGGGCTTTTTTGAGCGGTAATTATGAAGCCACTTTCATATTATCTCTGAAGCGCTGCTCTGTATCGAGAGTTTTATGTTTGTAACATTTCTAGTTCTTGCCATTCTTTCAGGTGAAACTGGCTGTAGTGGCAGCTACAAACTACATATTGTCCCAGAGACATTTAATAGGATGTAAAAAAATTAACGTATTACGTTAATACACTTTTTGACTTCACTAAAAATAGTAATGAATGGCATTTCTGTTCTCTACTGCACATTTTGGCCATAATGTCAAAATACAGTGGTCAATAAGGTGGATTGTCTACATATTAACAATATAACTGATTGGTCTAACTACTATGCTACCTGCTAAGATTACTAACTGTCCTGATCTTAATGAATCATAAATGAAGTGTAGCTTGAATATAGTCAATAAAGATTTTTAGTACTTTTATGAACCAAAATACTGAAATACTGGTGCATTTTGCAGTGTCTCAGGGAAGATACCAGGCTCACACTGATGACACCAGATTGGTTAAAAGGAAGGAAGGTTGTTTCAGCAAAGGGAAACTGATCCACTAACATGTCTTTCATAAAGAAATCATGTTCATTAATCACTCACCCAGGTCAGAAAGTCTCCTCTCAAATCCATCTCTCCCTTTCTGTAACTGGTCTCTCTCTTTAGTCAGGTTGGTGTAACTGGTCTGTAACTGGTCTCTCTCTTTAGTCAGTTTGGTGTAACTGGTCTGTAACTGGTCTCTCTCTTTAGTCAGTTTGGTGTAACTGGTCTGTAACTGGTCTCTCTCTTTAGTCAGGTTGGTGTAACTGGTCTGTAACTGGTCTCTCTCTGTGCTGAACTTGATCCACAGCACTATGATGGCAGTCAGCAGGAGAACACACAGCAGCCCCAGACACACTGCAGTCAGTCTGTAGCCTCTGATTCCTGCAGTGTAAAATGAGAATTTGACTACATTTTACTTCTTTTAGGATCTTATTTTTGCATTGACCATAAATACAGAGGCTACAGATCAAGACTAAACTTACTTACAATTAATGTTTTCCAGTCACTACAACACTGACATACATTGTTATCTGTACTGTAATGTTGTTATTTGATAGATCATCACTATTTCTAAAAATAAATGTGTAAAAGACAATTTGTTTTGCTACCTGAATGTTGTGTTTGTATGATCCTCTTGGTTCTGGTGTCCTCCATCTCTGTGTTGGGCTCATGGCCTCTAACAGTGTCTACACTCTCATAGATATCAACCACCATCTCCACTCGCTCTCCTCTGTTCAGCTCCTCATTACTGATAACATCATAAACATTCTGAGACATCTCTGATCTATAAGACTCACTAAAACACAGAATTACTGTGTCTCTGTCTGTAAGAACACGACTGCGCAGCTACACTTCTTGGTTTGGCTATGGTTGATTATGATTAGTCTGATGGTTTTAGTTAAGGAAGTGACCAAGTGTTAAGAACTGAAAGTGGACTTCCTGTGTTTGGGTGAGATGTCAGTACAGCAGAGCTCATGTGCTCAGCGTCTTGTCTTGCAGTCGGTTCTTAAATGTATACTTAAATTTAAGAACCAACTTTGTAAACTTATTATTTCTGAAATAATAAATGAAAATTCAGAGGTGTTATAGGAGTCTGTCGGACCATGTCTTACGTCTTTATAGTAATGATACCCAGGGGCACCAGAGGATCTCAATGCCCGTCCTGTCCAGAGCGTCCTATACTACTGGTCAGTGCTTTTCTATAGGGATGTGTGTGCACGCAGCTAAACGTCTGTATCGGCAATAAGTGCACTCAAAAGAAAGGCTGTCTTGACACTTTTGAACAAATAGTGTGTTACAATTTCTTATCCATCTTAAAAATATGGTGATTAATGGTCTGATTACATTGCCTCTCAGGAGACAGTGTTTCTAATATAAAGCACCACCTTCAACAGCTTACAACATTTTGTTTTTTAGTCTGTGGTTATGACCACATCTGAACTCTCATTGAGTGGACGTTTCTCAGTGTCGTGCAAATCATTGAGTGGAGGTCACATGATTTGGTTCATGTGGGTGTTCTTCATACACAGCCTCATATTGTTTCCTAAAACAGTACAGTATTCCTTTTGGCCTAGTTTTAATTAATGGCATGTTATTGTTAACAGTTTTTTTTCTTGTCTTTATTTCAGCTTTAAAAAGACAATCAAAAAGCAGTGGAAACTAATCTGATTGTATTACTTTGTTTTTAATCCTTTTTAGGTTATAGTTTATATTTTAACAGTTAGTCAGTAACACATTTTTCAAATAACACTCCTGGCTCTGCTGACTGAGTGTGACGACTCATATTGGTTAAAGTAAATAGACTTTCTGACTTTCACAAGAAGACGTCACACTGAACAAACCAGCATGAGCACCAGAGGAAGCACAAGAGGAAGCATCACCAAGGTAACGCAGCTGAAACACTACCCACAAGTCTGAGTCAACTGCTCTAAAATAAAACTTTCTTTGGTTACTCTGACTGAATTATCTGTATAAATAAAGAAACATCTGTAATGATTTGGGTGCAGCATGATGTGAAGTGAATTCACTGCAACATCATAGCTTTTAAATAGTTATAAATACTTATAAATTAGTGGGAAGCTGTATAAAATGATCACTAATAATTAGTAAGAAGCAGGTTGGGTCATCCCATGGGTTTTATGGGCACATGCTCAGAGGCCTGAGCCACAGGGGGGGCCCCCCGCAAGCAAGTATGACAAAATCCAAACAGCTGTTTTGACTCGCGGTGGGAACTTTAGTAGCAGGACAGTGGAAAACTGTGTTACAGTCGGTCTTAATCCTGATGCTGACATACACTTAATTTGCTCCTCCAATCACTGCTTATCATTATTATCATCTAGCACACCAGATCCTGGTAATGAAGGCCATCTGAATGAAGGGGCATCTGAATAGGAGAGCCAGGTGTGTTGGATCTGAACTCTCCAGGCTGTAGATCTCCAGGACCAGGACTGTGCACCCCTGCAATGTTGGATTATGTAAGATTATGACCGCATTACTGTCAGCAGTAGGCTGTAATCTCATATGTCATTGCAGGATACAGCACATTTGGAAAATGTATGTTGGCAACTTGCTGTGTATGTCTTTATGCAACCAGGGCAGGTCAACACAGTTCCTTCTAAATGCCAATATTAATTGTTGAATAATTAAACTTTTAGTCTAGCATATTTATCAGAAACATTGAATTCCAGAGGTTTGCTTCTAAAGTTTCTGAATCTGCAATAAAGTCTCCCATTCAGCTGGGGGGATGGAGCCAAGATGAGTTCAGAAAACACAACTGTAAGTTCCTCAGGCTTCATTTTGGCAAAATGACATGATCGGCACTTTTCACATTTATTTTAGAAGCAACTAATAATGAACAGTTTCAGCTACTGCAAAAAGGTCTACAACTAATGAATACATATTGGATAAAGCATAAAGCTTATGTCGCAATTAGAAAGTTATACATCTCAGTTTGCTGCAGTGATTCCTGTACATGAACTGATGTTATACAACTCATTATTTATTAGTGAAAATGTACATCATACATGTACAGGAAAACACCATGTACATCATGTGAAAATATGAAAATATGAGAGGCTTTTTAGGCCAAAATTCAAACTTAAATCTCACACTCATTATCAAATCTCTCACACACACACCATCATAGTTTCTTACACTCACTATTAAACCTCTCACA